GCCTTTCCTGATTTTAGACCATTCAGGATCCCCTTGCTCTACCCGAACAACCGCCTCTTGGTCTATGTACAGATTCTACACGAGCACCAGGAAGTGTTCCGGAATTCCCATTCTTTGCAATGCTTTTCTTCATTTCCTCTGATCCACAGTCTGATGCCTTTGTACAGCTGACAAAATACCAGGTGTTTTGCTTTGTTGCCTCCCTCCACTACTCTGTGTGTTGCTTTTACAAGTAAGCACACCTACCTGCCTTCAGTCAAGATCTATCGGATGACGGCCATGCTCACTCCTTATTCTGAGTCCTCTTCTGAATCCGGCTTGACTTTTCGGCAGTTCCCTGTCGATGTATTGTTGCAATTATTTTTTTTTTTAATGATCTTCAGAAAAATCTGACTGGCAGGTGACATTAATGGTATGGTTAGATGGGTTCTGCGTTCTCTTGGATCACTTTTCTTTGGGATGGGCACAGATCCAGTTCTCTTGCAGTCAGTTGGCCAGGACTTGTACATTTCTTGGCATAGATGAGTGCCCCCAGCCTTGCTTCGATCTGTGGGAGCATTTTGGCCGGTAGTCCGTCAATGCCTGCAGGCCTGCTTTTCACGAACACCTTGACCATAGCTTGGGCTTGTCTCTTCAGCACCATCGGTTCTTGCACGTATGCTACTTCGTGAAATAGCGGAACATCAGCCAATTCTTTTTGCGATAATGGCTCTGTGTACTCCTCTCCTCGTCTGAGGCCTCCTGTAGTGTGCCTTCAATAGGGCAATTTGTGGCTTGGCTTCCCATCCCCCCTTCTGTTCTTTCAGATTGAGAAATGCCAAGTGTGTCCTTTCTCCTTGGTCACCTAACTCCAGGTCTTTGCACACTTCACTGTCGTATTTCAGTTTGTCTTCTGGGGCCCTCTCTGGAAATGTATGCCCAGTTCTCTTACTTTGTTGCTTCTTGGATCCGCAATCAACGCTCGTGGAAGCAGCAGACAGACAAGAGCCTGAAAGACGCATTGCGTCGGATAACTCTGCAGCGAGAGACCTTTTCTGAGTGTTGAAAAGCAAGGAGGACTCACTCAGGTGCGCCTGACCCACGCCATGGTATGTTCAAGGGCCTCCTATGCGTGTGACAGTTGGACATTGAATAAAGAAGGACCAGAGAAGAACCGATTCATTTGGATTGAGATGCTGGAGAAGAATATTGAAAATACCACGGCCTGCTAAAAGGACAAACTGATTTGTCTTGGAAGAACGATAGCCAGGGTGCTCCTTAGAGGCAAGGATGGCAAGACTTCATCTTACAGACCTTGGACAGATAGTCAGGAGAGACCAGTCCCTGGAGAAGGACATCATTTTAGGTGGGGTAGAGGGGCAGAGGAGGAGAGGAGGACCCTCGGGGAGACAGACTGACAGGGTGATTGCATGGATGACCTCAGGGATAGAAACAGTGGTGAGGATGGCATTCATAAGGTTGCTATGGGGCGGAACTGACGCACTAGCAACAACACGTAACCTTCAGGGCACATAGACACTGGCCGACTGTGTACCTTTTGGTACCAGAACAGCCCACGCAATACTGAGGGCCGATTTTACACAAGACGTGCCTTTTAGGATAGTCTATGGGGCCTATTCACTCGCGAATAATGTACTTCTTGGCAGAAGTGTATCCCGCACAATATTCGGGGCGTGCTTAATAGCAAATTAGGATTCGAGTGTCACGGGTCAGCACGCTGGGTTGGTTTTGCATTTTTGCTGCTTCTGAGCCCTAGCCGGCCTCCTGCCCCCCTCCCTCACACACACACACACACACACACACACACACACACACACACCCGCCCCGCCCTGGCCCGTCCCCAGGGAGGACGCACCGCAGGAGGCGAACTTGAGCGAGAGCACGCAGCTCTCGTGCAGGTGCAACTGGTACTTCTCCGGCTTGCGCACGTGCAGAATCTCCACGTTGCTGCTCTCCATGCCGACTGCCAGCCAGTCCTGGTTCGGGCAGTGGCCCAGGGAGAAGATCTGGCGGGGGCAGGGGGTGGGGGTGGGGTGGAGAAGGAAGACGCCTTGAAGGAAACCCCTCCGGATGTCCGGGGGAAGGCCCGGCACCAGTCGCAGGAGAATGGGGGGTGTGTGTGTGTGCCCACTGGCACCCCCACGTCGGCGGGCAGCTGGCCCAGGCCCTGGAGCGCAGCAGGCGGCTGCGTGTTCCATCATTAATATTAATCAGAATTACACGGAGCCCCAGGGCCTCCAATCCATTATCTGCTCCGAGGGCGGAAGGAGGGAGGGGAGGCCAGGCAGGGACAACTGGCCCCGCCTTTAGCAGATGGTGGACGCTGAGGCTGCGTCCCATTGAAGGTCACACTGCAAGTCCGTAGGAGTCAGGATCCCAGCACAAGCTTCCGCAACTGGCTAACACTCGCTTGTTTTTCCCCCCCCACTCCCTCCAGTACTTTTTGTTTTGCTTTTGCTTGGAAAAGCCCAGCGTCCTCGTCATGGGGCACCACACCCATCCTGTTGTTGCTGTCAGGGGCTCCCACAAGACAGAGCAGGGTGACCCGCTAAAGCAGTGGTTCTCAAGCTGTGGGTCGCGACCCCTTTGGGGTCACAGTTTCACAGAGGTTGCCTAATTCCTAACAGTAGCAAGGTTGCAGTGATGAAGTAGCAACGAAAATCATGTGATGGTTGGGGGGTGACCACCACAGGAGGAACTGTACGAAAGGGCCACGGCATGAGGAAGGTGGAGAACCGCTGCTCTGAGGTCAGTTCCTCCAAGGAGACACCGAGGGCGTTCAACCCGCGCTTCACTGCTGTTCTGCCATGCCCCCACCCGACCCGAGGCCCCGGGTGGCAAAGCCACTCGGACCCCCAGCAAACCCAGGTGGGCATTTGTGGGGGCGGGAGACCGGGAGGGCGGTGTTTTCAATGGCTGAGTTTTGGAAGTGGATCGCCAGGCCTCTCCCCTCATGGACCTCTGGGTGGCCTCAATCACCCCCTTTTGGTGAACAGTACAGCATAGTCACTGTTTGTACCCCTCCCCAGGAGGGGGGGCTCCATCCCGGGCATAGTGGGGCAATAAGCCTCTTGGTGTCTTACCGGTAAACTACACACACACATACACACACACCCCCAAATGACAAAACAAAACTACAGCCCACAAAGTCGTTAGAGCAGCCTGGCACGTTTCAAAAGTCCTACGGACTCCCTTCTTGGCCACACAGAAACTGTTTCATGGAAACACAGGGACTGGTGGGTAGGAATTCCCAGAAATGTAAATAACTCACATATTGGAGATGAAAGATGGACAGCTAAATCCCGCGCTCCCCCCAGCCCCCCCCATCACCTCACTTCCCCACCAAAGGAGCCATCCAGTTAAAGAGAAGAGCTGAAACACCCTGGGCTTCAAGGGGTAAGTAGGATGCGGGTTTTGAAGGATGCATAGGAGTTCGCCAATCGGAGAGAGGAAAGCAAAGATGTGCCAACAACCAGGGGCACAAGAAGGGCAGAGGTCTGGAGGTGCGAATGGGGTATGGAGTGTGTGGGTCCACAGCACGGAAGACATGCGCCAGCCCCCCGAGGCAGCTTGACAGGCTCCAGCCCCAGGGTATCCTCTGTCCTCCTAGCTCCTTCCTCAGTCGCTTCTCTCAGTCCTTTGGTTTGGACTCTCACAGTGCCCTCAACAGGGGCCTGTCAGTGCCCTGCTCCCATGTCCACCTCTGCCTGGGCCCCAGGTCAGCGACTCTGTCAGGTACGGTACAGATAGTCCCGAGGTGGGTCTTCAGTAAGGTGACCAGATTTAAAGTGGGACACCATTGACCAGGGGCGGGGGTGGGGGGTGTTCTTGATTAAAAATTTGGTCTATAGGGACCAAATAGACCGTTCCCTAGCTTGTCGTGCATTCTTTCCAAAAATCGGGACTTTTTTAAAACGCCAAGAATCGGGACTGTCCCGCCAAAAGCGAGACGTCTGGTCACCTTAGTCTTCAGTGGGGGCACCGGGAGCGGTCAGAAGGGTCTAGGGTCTTGGGGCTGGCAGGGGAAACAAGCTACACCAGGAAAGACTAGGGAGTGGGGCAATGGTTCGGCCAGAGCATGTGAGGAAGATGAGCTGAGGGTCTCAGTAGTTCCACAGGCTTCCTGCCACGTTTTGGAGAATTAAGGGGGAGAGCTGGGATTTATCTGGATGCCCACTGGTTGGGAAGAGAAGGCATCAAGGGGCTGGGAGGGAGGTGGGATTCCTGGAGCTGCTTCCTACCCCCCACTGAGCCGGGCCCCACTGAGCTGACACCTGAGAGCTGAAGTCATGCTGCTGCAGCTGGCGGCCCTCCCGCAGGTCCCAGCACCGCACGGTGTTGTCCAGCCCTCCTGTCCAGAGCCTGGTGCCGTAGTCGGAGATGTCGATGCAGCTGGCTCCATCCGTGTGGCCCTGGAACTGCCTGGAGGGGGTGGGGTGGGGTGGATCCGTGTCCAGTTGAGTGTCCAGCAGGCCCCTCCCTCCCAGGCCACGCGCCTACCTGCCTGCACCTCTGCACCCACCTGACCATGGTCTGGTTCTGCAGATCCCACACCACGATGTTGCCGTCGCTGCAGCATGAGAAGCAGACCTTGGCGTCGGGGCTGACCGCCAGCGCGTAGCAGGCGGGCGCCGAGGAGGTCAGCTCGGCCTTGATGCGAGGCGTGGGTGCCGCCAAGTCCCAGATGGACAAGGTGCTGGCCTCGCCACCGACGATTAAACTCCGGCCGTCAGGCAGCAGCTTGCAGGAGCGAATGTAATTGTCCCGGTTCTGGGCGGCAGGAGGACAGAGACGGGGACACTCGTGGGGGTTGGCCAAGGTCACTTGCCCAAGGGTCTGATCGGCTAGCTTGTAAACTCCTGGCTTGCTTGATCTATAAGCACCGCCCACTCTCCTGCAGACCCCGCCCCTTATTGGTCTGTGAGCCCCTCCTTTGACTGCAAGCCCCGCCCCACGTTGGCCTGTAAAACCCCACCTTGTTGACATGTAAGTCCCCCCCTGGTTGCTTTGTAAGTCCTGTCCCTAATTGATGGTAAGCCCCGCCCCTTATTAGCCTGTGAGCCCCACCTCTTTTTCAGCAAGCCCCACCCACACTGGCCTCACTCATTTACACAAAGCCTGGCTCCCGGTGGAATTGCAAGCCCCACCCTATCCACCCAGTTGACCAGTAAGCCCCTCCCTGTTCCTCGGTAAGACCCCTTCCCAGCCTCACCAGGCAGTCCAGCTGGGCCACAGGCGTCTTGGCCCCCGGCTGGCCCACGTCCCACACCTTCACGCAGCCCTTGCCGCCCGTGTACACGTGTTGTGTGGAGCCGCTGATGGTGACAGCGCAGACCACCTCGCCATGTGCCAGCGTGTGCAGCTGCCTTGCGTGCCGCGGGATGCCCGCGCCCACCAGGGCGTCCGAGGGGAAGGGCACGGGTTGCATCTGCCCGTCGGCGGACACATGGAAGGAGTAGGCCCTGGAGGGGAGGGAAATGAACAGCTTCAGGAGGCCTGGGCCGTTACCATGTGCAGCACCAGGGGCCACCGGGCAGACAGACGCCAGACTAGAACATTCAACCTTCCCGCTCCACCCAGGGCCTTCCTAATGATATTGAGGGCCTGTTCGTTCTGCGGAGGTCTTGTGGGGAGTAGCTGGTCTCTGCTTCCCTTGTGCAGTTCTCTGCAGAGAGCTCCCCAGGGGACACCATTGGCTTCCAGAAGGGTTTTAGAAAGGAGCTGGGGACTCCACCCACCTCCCCAGTATAAGCCTGACAGGAGGAGCCTGGTGCCCAGGTGGGGGCCCCTCACTCCTCAGGTACTCACGGTTTTCCCCCAGGGATACTGGGTAGGGAGGATGAGATGGATGACCCTCGGAGGTGTGGGTGGGACTCAAATGCCATCTGCCAATTCCAGAGGGATACCACAATGCTGCTGACTCAGAGCACCCCACTCTGCCCGCTCCCATGCCCACTTGCCATGCCCCTGAAGCCCTCTCCAGAAAAACAGAGGTGTCCTTTCCTCAACCTACAATTCCAGATGGGTCAACTGAGGTCTTCACTTGCAGGAACCCCAAAATCTTTGCCTAGGGAGCCTCAGGAAAGAATCTCTATTTAAGGAATTGTCTGGCCCTCCATTTGGTTTTTGTCAATAAAGTTTTATTGACACACAACCATTGTTCCCATGGTGCCCGAGGCTGCTTTCCAGTTATAAGAGTGGACCTCGCCTGTCTTTCAGCCCCAGTTCAGGGGTCTCAGTTGCCGTTTCCTTAGCAACTCTTCCTGGGGCAGCATTTCCAGCCTTCTCACCAGCCCAGTCCTTCCTCTCTGAAATCTCCCACGACAGTCATTGTCCCTTAGAGACCAGGACTGGCCACTGTACACCACCTGCCAGGAAGTTGAACGGTACTCTTGCTCCATCTGATCTGGGCATTCTGTTTCCTCCTCTCTCACTGTCATGGAGTGAGTTCTGACTCATAGCGACCCTATAGGACAGGGTGAAACTGACTGCATGTAACTCTCGATGGGAGTAGAAAGCCTCATCTTTCTCCCCAAGGGGCGGCTGGTGGTTTTGAACTGCTGATCTTTCGGATAGCAACCTCACACATAACCACTATGCCACCAGGGCTCCTTCCTGCTCCCCTTAATTACAGGTGTATTTTTTGTTTGCTTGTGTTTCTCTGCAGTCCCAGGTGCTGGTTAGCACTAAGCTTTGGGGGCTACTGAAATCCCCACCCTCCAGCCTCCTCCCTCCCCCCTCCCTGGTCTCTCCTTGTGTAGCTGGTTTCTTTTTCCAGCTCCTGGCCCCCACCAAGGACTCACCATGGGGGACCGTCCATACACCACAGAACCGCTGACCTGAGGGGACAGGTGGAGGCTGACGTAGGAGCTGGGCACAGACAGGTCCCCATTGAGGGTGCTGTGGGAGCCCAGAGTGAAGGACGTGGTGAAGGGGCTGGACAGTGTCAAGGGGCTCCTCAGGGCTGAACAAGGACAGACAAGGACAGCTCTTCAGAAACCCCAGGCCCAGGCTCTGCCTCCTGGTGTCTTGCGGACAGGGCACCAGCGGCTGGGCCTGCCACTCAAAGCCTCCACCATCTAGTCCCATAACTGCCAACAGTGTGAATCCCACTTCCAAAGGCTGTTCCCTCTAGCGGACAACCTGTCCCTTTCCTTCTACTGGAGAACCCCTAAAACCAAACTCAACTCCCATCAAGCCGATTCTGACTCAGGATCACCCTATAGGACTGGGTAGAACTGCCTCCCTGAGTTTCCAAGACGGTAACTCTTAATAGGGGTCAAATGCCCTGTCTGTCTCCCTCAGAGCAGCTGGTGGTTTCGAACTGTGGACGTTGGTGGTTAGCAGCCCAACTTATAATCAGGGCTCCTTGGCAAACTCCTACTCAGCCTTCAAAGCCTTTTAAACCAAATGTCCCTCCTTCTACACCTCAGGAACATCTTTTCCCTTCCTCTCCCACCACCACCAGCCTTCCCCATCTCCAGTCTCCCCCTCCGTGCCAGCCCTGATCACAATGCTGAGCAGTTTTGGGGTCTGGGTCCCTAACTCACTGCCCTTGAGTTGAGTCAGACTCATAGCACCCCTAGAGGACAAAGTAGAACTGCTCCCTAGGATTTCCAAGGTGGTCAGTTTTCTTTCTTTTTTTTTTAGGTGGTCAGTTTTCATGGGAGCAGACAGCTTCCTCTTTCTCTTGCAGAGCGGCAGGTGGATTTGAACTGCTGGCCTGGTAAGCAGCTCAGTGCTTAGCCCACTGAGCCACTAGGGTGCCTACTCCTCTCCCCCCACCAATTTGGAGCTCCTGAAGGGCAGGTTCCACGGTTCAGTTCTCTCTGGAACTAGCACAGAGCCTGGCCCTGAAACACTGCCATCCGGAGTCTCACAGAGGGAGGCCACCTGCCCAATGTCACACAGCTGTCTGAAGGCAGACCCCAGAGTCGCCTGTCTTTCTGTCTTCCCAGCACACAAGTAGCTGCAGCCCTTGAGAAGGCCACCTCCCCACTCGGCCTGTTTCCCCACTGTTGAGTGGGCACACGGAGGAAGGCGGGATCGTATCAAGGGAACACAGAGTTAGCCAGGGTAGGAACCCAAGCCTCCCAACCCCGGCAGATCCGCCGCTCACCAATGCTGTCCGTAGGCGGTGCTGGCTTGGCTGCAAGCTGGCGGAGGTGGGTGGCTGAGCTGGGCCCTGGGGTGGAGGTGTCCTGGGGCGGGGAGGAGTCGCAGGACTTGGAGGCAGGGGTGCTGGCGGGAAGGTCGTTCTGCAGAGAAAGGGCAGGCTCCAGGCGTCTGGGCACACCGGGCAGGGGTGGGGCTGCAGGTGCCTGGGAGGCCCAGGTGTTTAAGGCAGGTGCTCACACACCAGGGGGTTGGGCTCCACAGGTGGTTGCATGAGCTGCGGGGGGGCTCCCAGCAGCAGGCCAGGTGGGTGCCTGGGTAGGGGGGCACGGGCAGGGTGTGCCTGCAAGGGTGTACACTTGCATGTAAGGGGCACCACACACGCACCTATACTGTGAAAACCAGGCATACATATGGTAAGGGATATGGTATGCACACAGGCCAACACACAGCTAGTAGAACCAAGCATGCGTGCATGTGGTAAGATACACACTGTAGACACATGTGTGCACAGACCTACCTTAAGAACCAGGCACACACACACACACACACACAAAAAAGAACCAGGCACACATATGGTAAGGTACACAGTGTGGCTATGTATACACATATATACATGCCTAATATGAGAACCAGGCATGCATATGGTAAAGTATGAAGTGTGAACACATATATGTGTGCACACCTACTCTGACAACAAGGCACACGTATGGTAAGGTGCATGGTATGGGCACATACATGTATACACATAATAAACACGTCTAATAAAAGAACCAGGTATGTGTGCGGGTGGCAAGGTATGCGGTGTGGACACACATGTGCTTGGACCTATCAGGAGAACCAGGCACACATACATAAGACCAGTTGTGTGTGTGTGCAGGAAAGTATACAGTGTGCACACACACAGGATTGTGGGTGACCTGAGGCTTGTCCACAGCAGTGGTCCCACCCTGCAGGGTACAGGGTCACCATGTGGCAGGTCACCAGGTGACGGAGGGGGGCTGAGGGGGGGGAAGACGCCAGGGACAGAGATGGCCAGAGACTCAGAAATTTAGGGACAAGACTGTGAAGTCTGAGCCCTCCCAGTGAGCTCCACAGGGGTGGGGTGTCTTGCTTGCTCCCTAGGGGAGAGGGGACATCACTCCAGCCAGACTTCCCTCTGGGGACACTTGAGGGACCCTGGGAGCCTCCCTTCAAAGGAGGAGGCCTCTGTCGCCCTCCGTTTCAATCACGGTGCCCTTCGCCTTTAAAAGAAACTTCCCTGGCCTCGCTGGGGTCTCGCATCCTCCCAGCCCACATATTGTGACAGCCGCAAGCCCCCCAGGAGAGACAGGCGGCAGGAAGGGGAGGCCTCTCTCGGGGGCTCCTCCATTAGCAGGGAGCGGCCCTGCCCCCTTGCCGGTCTCCATGGATCGCGGGAGTGGGAGGAGGGCACTTAAGATGGAATTGAGCCCCAACCTTGGCAGTTGCCATAGCAACCTGCTGGGAGGGGGGCCTAGAAACTGACACAGCCTCTCCGGGTAAGTGCAGGGCAGGGGCATGGGGAAGAATGGGGGGAAGAGGGGGCTCCGGAGCTGAATGGCAAAGCGTCCCGCTCCTCCCCGGGGAAGTGCCTTTAGGTGGTCTGGCTATGAAGCGGCTGGGAGTTGTGGTATTCTCTTCATGATCTTTTTCTTCCCCTTTTTTGGGGTGGGGGAGGTGGGAGGGCAGTGAAGCCTGCTCTCTGGGGCCCCGGGCGGGGGGCTCCAGTCTCTCAGAGGCCTTTCGGCTTGTGGATCTGGGGATCAGCCCTTCATTAGAGGATCAGGGCTTTCACCACGCTTGGCTGCACCCCGAGGTTATGGAAGGAGAGTCCTTCTTCCCCATGGAAGGTGGGACAGACCTTCTTGCCTTTGACAGTTGGTGCAGGTGCAGCAGAGGGAGGCAGGTCCATTTACCTACTCTACACGTGGAAACCAGAGACAGCCCGCTAAACCTCTCCCAGCGAGCGACCCCGTGGGGCAGACTAGAGCCTTGCCCCAGAGGGTCCTCTTGGCTCTGATCTTTACAAAGACAGAACGCCTGCCCTTTCTTCCTTACAGCTGCTGGATTGGGGGGCAGGGTGGGGGGTGGGACCCACCGGCATGTAGATAAGCCGGCCCTTTGCAACACCCAAGAGCTTTCTTGTAAATAAAACCCACTGCCATCTTGTCCAGACACATGGAGGCTGTACACCCATTGCAGAAGCAGACAGCTTCATCTTTCTCCCAGGGAGCAGCTGGTGGGTTCGAACTACCGACCTTGTGGTTAACAGCCCAAGTCCTAACTCACAGCAGCCCTAGGGCTCCTTTTTGTAGGAAATGAAACCCAAACCCAAATGAACCCGGCCATCAAGTCGCTGCCGGGTCACAGCGACCCGATAGGACGGGGTAGAACTGCCCGTGTGGGTTCCTCAGACTGCAACTCATTCCAGGGGTAGAAAGCCCTATCTTTCTCCCTCACAGGGACTGTTGATTTTGAACTGCTGACTTTGTGGATCACAACCCAACATGAAACCAATGAGCCACCACGGCTCCTTCTCTTGAGAAACCACACCAGCAGACCGGTCGCCTCCCGGTCAGCTCCTACGTGTCCCTCGGGCTGTGGCTTGCAGGAGTGAATGTAGCTGCCCTACTTCTGGGAGGTGGGGTGGGAGGTCAGAGATGGACAAAGCACACTCATGGGGGTCGGCCGAGGCCACTTGCCCAAGGGCCCAGTCCACCAACCTGTAAACTCCTGCCCTGCTTGATCTACAAGCCCTGCCCCTTATTGGCCTGGGAGCCTCACCCCTTTGGCTGCAAGCCCCACACCATGTTGGCCTTAAAAGTCCACTTTGTTAACATGTAAGTGTGGCCCCTGGTTGCCTTGTAAGCCCTGTCCCTAATTGATGGTAAGCCCTGCCCCTTATTAGCCTGTGAGCTTCACCTCTTTTCAGCAAGCCCCACCCACACCAGCCTCTGGGTAAACCTGCTCTGCGGGGTTTTCAGCGGCTGGTTGTCTGGGAGGAGATCGCCAGGGCTTTCTTCTGAGGCACCTCTATAGCTGGACTTGAACCTCTCCTCTTTCAGCAGAGTGCACGGACTGTTAGCAGCCCCCGGGGCCTCCAGATAACCCAGGGACCCAGCTCATTGCTGGCTTCCAGAGTTTCATTGGGGTAGCATTGCTTTCCAGACTTCTAGGATTAAGAAAGTGAGTTTCAAGCCTCCCCACTCCCCTAAATCCTTACCAGGACAAGCTCCTTGGCTCTGGGGAGCGGTGAGCCAAGGCTGGACGCCAAAGAGGCCGGGCTATCCACCAACTCTCGACGGGCAGGGACGCAAACTGGCACCTTTCCACACGGGGTGGTAGCGGGGCTGGGGGGCTCGGAAGGCTGGTCCTGGGTTCAAGGAGGGGGTGATGAGTGGAGGACCATATGTATGTGGGGGAGAGACCCTATCTAAACACCCTTCAATGCTCACCCTCACATTCCAGATCCAGCACCCACTGCCCTCACCCAAGGTGTGTGTGTGGAGGGGGACGGGAGGTAAGCACAAACAAGCAGAAACTTAGAGGAGCCCAGGGGTGGGTGCTGGAGCACCTGACCACCCTACTACTTGGGAAGGCAGAGGAACCTCCCTGTGCCTCGATTCCTCATCCATAAATGGGTCCAGTGTTATCATCTTTAAAATAATAATCTCACTGCCATGGAGTTGGTTCCAACTCATAGCACCCTTGTTGGGCAGGGTAGACTTGGCCCCCATGGGTTCCGGAGGCTGGAACTCTTTACAGGGGCAGAGAGCCTCTGCTGTCCCTCGAGGGGTGACTGGTGGCTTTGAACTGCTAACCTCTTGGTTAGCAGCCCACATGTCGCCACTACCCCACCAGGGCTCCTCAGCTGGGCATCCCTATGAGACAGGGTGGAGCGGGCTCTGCGGGTTTCCGAGGCTGTGATTCCTCACAGGAGCAGAAAGCTGTCTTTCTCCCACTGAGTGGCTGCTGGTTTCGAACTGCTGACTTTGCAGAAGAGGCTGGTATTTCCTACTCTTCCCCACCCCAGAGCCCCCACTTACTTACTCTCTGTCCAGACCTCCTGGTTCCCCAACTCAAAGTGGCAGAACTTAGGGTTAGGGGAAAGCTGGGCCCCGACTCACCTCGTCCACCACCAGGTTGTAATCACTCTTGTCCTCGTCGCTGTCCTGGGGTGGGTGGGGGAGGGGAATGAGGACGCATGCAGGCCATGCCCATGCCTGCGCGCCCCACGACTGTCTGGTGGGCCTGGGGGGGGGCTGGATTAAGATCCTTCCACTGAGGCAGCCCCTGCCTTCTAGAGGCGGAAGGGGGAGGTTTCTGGTTGGGGAAGGACACTGAGTATCCAGACGCTGTGGGTCTGGGCGATGCCACATCCTTTCTGGGCCTTAGATGACTGACTCCTCTGTCAGTGGGGTGGGGGACGGGGGCGGGGGCTGTTCCCTACTGGGCAGAGCCAGGATTTAGGCTTCCTTCCATACTCTTACAGCACTCTTTCCCCACAAAGCCAGCCCATCATCTCCCATCTGTCTGTCCTCGCATCCTCAGATCCGAGCCCCTCCCACTTCCGGTGGGGCCTTGGCCAAAAAGCCTTGGCCGAGCTGTTCTATAGCACTCTACAGCCCTGCTCTGTGTCCTTTGATGGCTCCTAGTGCCCCTGGGAGAAAGACCCAGCTCCAGCTCCATTCACTGACAGGGCAGTAAACTCCGTCCTGGTCCTGTGGGGATGGCCTCGGGGAACTTCCAGCTTGGCCCCCCCCAGGAAGAGGGGGAAGGTGGCAGCCTGTGGCCTGGAGTTGAGTGCTTCAACATGGCGCCACCACAGTTCCTCCAAGGGAGCTTGGTAGGGGGGTGCAGGGGAGGGCCCCCCCCCCCTCCGTCAGGACTGGGAAGGAGGCAGAAAGGCAGATCTATCACTCAGAGGTTAACCAAAGGGTTAAGCCTGGCACCGCAGCATCTCTTCTGATTGGCTGGTGCCCCCAAGAGCAGTGGGGAATTAGAGAAGGCTCCGGAGGGAGGGAGGGAGGGAGTCAAGGACAGAGCTGGCGCTTAAGGGGCTCCCAGTAAGCAGCTGGTGCTGATCTGGGCCGTGTGTGCCACCCACCCACGTTCCCACTCACGTAAGGAACCGAGAGGTCCTTGTCCTCCACGCTCTGCTTCCCGTTGCCCCCGGGGCCACTCAGATGGTCCTCCTCCACCAGACTCTCGGGGGGCGAGGGGGATGCGCTCTGCAGAGAGAATGGCCAGGCGAGAGAGGGTGTCCGCTCACAGGCTCCCCCTGACTCTATCCTGGCCTAGATGAGACTGGGGGTCCCCCCAGGGTCTCTTTCGATCAGCCAGTGCCCTACAAGTAACAGGGAGCTATGGGAGACTCCGGAGGGAAGAGAGAGTGGCTAGATTGAGCTGGGTGCTGTTCCTCCAGCTTCCCATCTGGACAGTGGGCCCACCTGAGGGTGCTCTCCACGGTAAGCTCTGAACAGACAGCAAATTAAACAAGCAAGCAAACAAAAACTATTGCCACCGAGCGGATGCTGACTCCTAGCAGTGCTGACTCATTGAGTACAGAGCAGTATCGAAATGCCTCTGTGGGTTTCTGAGACTCACTCTTGACGGGAGTAGAAAGTCCCATCTTTCTCCCAAAGGGCAGCTTGGAACTGCTGACCTTGCAGTGAGCAGCCCAACACGGAACCACTAAGCCACCAGAGCTGCCGGGACGGGACAGACACCAGCTCGTCAAAACCACAGAGCAAGCTCATGGGGCAACCGGTGGTTCCTTTCCCTACACGGGTGAGGAAATGGAGGCCCCAGGAAAAGCAGGGGCTGCCCAATGAATCTGGGGCTCAGACAAGGCTTGAAGCCGGCCTACCGACATCACCCCAGCACACGGGTTGGTGGCACAGCCCTGGAGGGTGGGGATCTGGGCAAAGACCCACCACAGCCCCTCAGCGGAGCCTCAAGCAGCCTTTTTCTTCTCTGGATCTCAGAGTCTGTATGATGGGTACAACTCAGCAGGAGCCCAAGTGGTGTAGTGATTACATGTTGGGCTGGAATCCACAAGGTCAGCAGTTCAAAACCACCAGCTGCTCCTTAGGAGAAACAATGGGCTTTCTACTCCAGTGAAGAGTTCCGGTCTCAGAAACCCCAGGGGCAGTCAGTCCTACAGGAGCCATCATTGCCTTGATGGCAGTGAGTTTGTTTTGTTTAAAGCAGCAATGGCTTCAGACGCTGGGGCTGGGGACATCTTCAATGGGAAGCTTCTCTTGAAGTCCAACAGACCAGACAAGGAGGAAATCCAGCCAGGAAGTTGGCCTGGAATTTCAAGCTTCCTGTCTGGGTCATGGGCCTGTCTGGGAGGCTGACCCTGACACCCAGGTCCGGACAGACAGGAGCCTGAACACAGACCCCGTGATGGGTCCAGGAGCCAATGCTGGGCTGAGGGTGAGGAGGGCGGGTGGGAGAGAAGTGTGGGGCAGCTGCGGGTGAGCTGCGGGTACAGCAGCAGTGGGCTCAGTCGTGGCGGGGATGATGCCGAGCTGGGGAGTGGTTGGAGCGAACTCGCGGCCCCTAAGGACCACAACTCCGGAAGGGAAAGCCAGTCTCTGAGAAGGCGTGCAGACACACCCTCGTGGACACAGCGGCACCGCTGTACAGTCTACAGCGGGCGGCCCCACGGTGGGAACCACCACATGGCCCGCCCTGGAGACGGCACGTGATGGGAGGCAGCTTAGCCTGAGGCGGACACTGGACGAAACCAGCCGGGGAGACGTGGCCCTGAGCGAGGCAAACCAGATGCACACGGACAAAGCGCGACTGATGCCACCCATGGGCGTCAGTACCGCCCCAGAGCGAGGCTACAGGCCAGGGTAGGGCTGCCCCAGTCAGTTGCCGAGCCTGCGGTGACTCATGACGGAGCAGAAAGCCCCGTCTTTCTTCTGATGAGCAGTGGGTGGATTTGAACTGCTGACCTTCCTTCCGGATCACATCCCAAGGCAAAATACCACGTCACTCATGGAAAAAGTTCACACTCACTCCCTTGGAGTCAATGTCCACTCACAGCGACCCTATAGGACAGGGTGGAACTATCCCTGTGGGTTTCCAAAACTGTAACCCTTTCCGGGAGTAGAAATTCTCATCTTTCTCCCGTGGGTGGGCGGGCGGCAGGTAGTCTCGAACTTCCCGGAGAGCAGTCCAATGTGTAACTACACCACCACAACAACAAACAAGTGGAATAGCAGGCACACGCGCATGAGCTCACATGTGTACTGCTGTATAGAATACGACCGAACGGATGGTGGAAAATGAATGACAGAGAGGAGGGTGAGGGGTACCACGGGTTGAAAGATCGCAGCAAAAGCCGCTCCAATTCCATTAAGAAACAAACGCCCCGGACAGAGGAGTCGCCCCGCCCTGCCACCTGGCGACCAGGAGCTTCCGGGGAGAGCGGCCCCACGCAACGCTCAGCTGCCACCTGGACAGGCGGCCACTAACAACCACCCTCTGGACGGAAGCAGGTGGCCCGGCCATTCTTCTGGGGTTGTCCAGGACAGCCAGGGCAGTGCTGTCTGGCGGAAGTGGGGGAGACCTTCCATACTGCCCACCCAGTACTGTCCCCCGGGGCAGAAGGCCATTTGAAAACCGGCGGGGCTTGTCTCACTTGGGCTGGGAATGTTCGGCTTTCCCACGGGGGAACACTGAGCAAACGGCCCATGGGAGGATTTGGTCCCTGGGGTGGCCCTTCCACTTACCCTGCTCGGCGCTCTCTCTGCTGGCCGGAGGAGAAGGGGGTTGGGGGGGAGAGAAAGAGAGAGAGAATGAGGTCTTTATCTCACGGTGCCCAAGGCTCAGCCCCGTTCTTCACACAAGCCCTCTTCCCTCTTAGAATCTCTGTCCTTCCTCACTCCCCCAGTCCATTCAGACAACCAAGGACCAGAGGGGGGGCAGTGTCTTGTTCAAGGACACACAGCCAGTTGGCGGTCAAGGCAAACCCTATCGCCCCATAAAAACCCAACCAGACTCACTGCCTTCCGTCATTTCGGACTCACAAGGACCCCTTGGGACAGGGTAGAACTGCCCCCTGTGAGTTTCCCAGGCGGTAACTCTTTCTGGGAACAGGAAGCCTTTTTTTCTCCCGAGGAGCCGCTTGGTGGTTTTGAACTGCCAACCTGTCAACCAGCAGCCCAACTTGTAACTACTGCCACCAGGGCCGCTCATTTAACCCCTCATCCCATTTAGGGGTGGCCAGACCTCCCCTCTCCGGGCACCCGGCCAATACCCACCCACTCATGCTGCCCACTCACCTCGGGAGCCTTCGGCCTCCACACCTGTTCGATCTTCTTTGGCTGCAGCGGCCAACTGGGCCTGGGCGGCCAGCGCTCCGGACAGGGCGAGCAGCCCCGTGGCACTGCCGCCCACCAGCCCGGCCGGACGTGGGGTGAGGGGCACAGGTGGGGCGTGGTGGGACAGCGGCTGGAGCTGCTGCTGCTAGAAAGGAGATGGGATGGACCAGGGCAGGCAGGGGCTGGCCTCCAGGAGTGCCCAAGGTCCGGGAGGCACCTTGCAGGAAAGGCCTGGCCACTGACTTCACAAAACTTGGCCTTTGAAAACCCCGGGGAGCAGGGCTTGGGCAGGGGTTCGAGAGGACTCACCCCGATGAGGCTGTTCAGCTCCCCAACTGTCACCTGCTTGGCCCGCTCCACTGCCTGGAGCACCTGCTGCTGGTGCTGGAAGGAGGTGTAGGGTGGGAAGGGGGTGGTCAGGCTGCAGGGAGCTGCCACCTGGGTCCTGGGCCCACCTCTTGCTGCCCCCTCACTTCTCTTCCTCGAGGAGAACCCATCTCCTTAGTGAATTGCAAAATAAACACACACGCAGAGCAAGAAGGAAAACATTGCGCCATTCAAAGACAGGGCCTGTGCCCCAGGCATTGCTGACACCGGCCTGGGCCCTCTGTGGGGTGGAGCCTGTCCTGGGCACCATAGGCTGTTGATCAGCATCTCTTGACCTCTGCCCACTGGATGCCAGTAGCCACCCCCAACCCAACCCTGGCTGTGACACCCACCCACAAATGCCTCCGGGGTGCAAACTGCCCTGGGTTGGGACCCAGTTCTTCGTCAGCACCGGGGTGCCAGCCCACAGAAGTCCCCCTCCCCATGCAATATCCTCCCTTCCCCACTTTGCTGGCCATCATTTCTGTGCATCACACCACCTACGGCGGCTCTCTTATACCCGATTCTTTTCAGTTCCCCTGCTCGGAACTGTTGGGTGGGCTTTTTCTACGTGTCATCTGTGCGTCTGACCTCCTGCTCTTAACACCA